GCATAACTACTTCAAGAAAGAAATGGTTATGTAGAAATTGGAGTAGGTTTGAATTGAAAGCCATAAGAATTACTGCAGAGGCTGATTCTACTCCTGAAGAGGCTGTTGGTACTTTTACCTTAAAAAAAAAAAGTTTTGCAAATTGTGTTTATGCAATTCTTGAATTCATGGATTTTTATTACAGTGATGCTATAATTGCTTTCTCTGCCTAATTTATACATTTTCTTATAGCTATGCATATCTATGAATATGCACATTATTGTTAGGGTTCCATTCTAAGTGCAGTTCCTGGGATCTGCTTGGGGTCTTAGAATAGTTTTGTGGATCAGACAGCAGTATCATACCTTGAATTTAATTCTTGCCTTGGTTTTCCTGCTGTCATTGTTATAAGTACGTAGAGTTGTAATTTTGAAATACTTTCAAATTGACCAAAAAATCATTTCGTATTGCAGAACGTTCCATGTACCTATCTCAAATATTTCATATTACTAACATTTTATTTTTATGGTGTATTTGTCATAATTAATAAATCTACATTAATACATTACCATTAATGAAAGTCACTCTTCCCTTCAAGAGGATGAGAACAAGTAAAGAAAAATGCTTCAGAATACCAGTAACCTACTTCAAAGTCCATACCAGGAGGGTTACATCTTTAACCAAGTGAGATTTATACCAGTCACGTAAGGTTGTTTAATTATCTTAATTTCATTTGTATAACGATATTAATAGATGTAAAAACAACATTTGGTAAAGTCCGACATTCATTTATGATCAAAAGTTCTCATCATACTAACCGCAGGGGGAAGTTCCCCAGCACAACAAAGGATGTTGACGAAATTCCACAGCTCATGCCATGCTTAATAATGAGCGTCTAGGTGCTTTTCTGTAAGATTGGGACTAAGACAAATATGAACACTTTCATAAGTTCCACATAATATGACTACATTTTCTAACCGGGTAATTATGTACCAATGACTTAAATCATTCCAATAATAAACAAGAAATGAAATTATTTGCATTCACAGATAACATGAAGATCTCTGAGATTTGAAGGAAAGCTATAATGTTATAGAACTCATATAAATGTATTTAAAATTGCAGGATGCCATTAAACATAAAGAGAAACAGAAATTATGTAAATGATATCTCAGGCCACAGCAAAGATGGGGCAGAAGGAAATAAATGGGGGATATCTCCCAGTAATTAGAGTTATTTTCTGGTTAACCCAAATATTCTAACATCGATTGTGACTTATTTTAAAACATCTAAAAAATTACTGTGTTATAAAGGGATCAAGTTAAATTAAATCAGAAGGAATTGTAAATGTTGTGATATGCTGGGTTAAACCGCTTTATTGATGCCAGAATCCCTTACAAGTACCAGTTTGAGGACCAGCTATTCCACTTCCCATCCAGCTCCCTGCTTGTGGCCTGGGAAAGCAGTTGAGGACAGCCCAAAGCCTTGGGACCCTGCACCCGTGTGGGAGAATCAACAAAACTTTAAAACTAATACATAAAGTTCTAAAAACTTGATGAAAATAACCAGCCCAAGAATGAAAACAAGAAAGCAATTTGACCCATTACAGCGTTAACAATAAAAAAATAACCTTAGGAATAATATAGAAAAAGGTCAGTAGAACATATGTGAAAACCTGCAAATTATAGCTTAATTTTGTTACAGGATAACTAAATAGGTGGAAATATATGCCATATTTATGAATGAAACATTATTGCTACTATAGTGACTTTCTATAAATTCATCTATAGATTCATCATGATTCCTATCAAAACCTGCTAGAGTTTTCCAGAAATTAACAATGATTTTTTTTTCTTAAAAATATGTGGATTATCTTTGGGAAACATGAGCCAGGCTTGGAGAAATTAGATGAAATGGCTCAGCTGTTTCGGTTTATTACGATACCTTCTTTCTGAAATATTTATTTTATTTTTATTGGGAAGTCAGATACACAGAGAGAAGGAGAGGCAGAGATGAAGATCTTCTGTCCATTGTTTCACTCCCCAAGAGGCAACAACTGCCAGAGCTGTGCCAATCCAAAGCCAGGAGCCAGGAAACTCTTCCGTGTCTCCCACACAGGTGCAGCGTCTCAAGGCTTTGAGCCATCATCGACTGCTTTCCTAGGACACAAGCAGGGAGCTGGATGGGAAGCAGGGATGCTAGATTAGAACTGGCACCTATATGGGAGCAGGACATGTGCAGGGCAAAGACTTTGGCCCCGGGCTACTATGCTGAGCTCCTTACAATACCTTCCAAACAATGGAACAATTAAAAGCTGCTTCCGGGCCCGGCGCAGTGGTGCAGTGGTTAAAGTCCTTGCCTTGCACGCCCGGGATCCCATATGGGCGCCCGTTCTATCCTGGCAGCCCCACTTCCCTTCCAGCTCCCTGCCTGTGGCCTGGGAAAGCAGTCGGGGACAGCCCAAGGCTTTGGGACCCTGCACCCATGTGGGAGACCCTGAAAAGGCTCCTGGCTTTGGATCGGCATAGCATCGGCATTTGCGCTCACTTGGGGAGTGAATCATCGGACGGAAGATCTTCCTCTCTGTCTCTCCTCTCTGTATATCCGCCTTTCAACAAAAATAATAAAAAAAAAGTTTAAAAAAAGCTGCTTCCACGAAATATCCTTTTTGCTTAGTCAACTGTAATTAGAATATATTATATTATATTATATTATATTATATTATATTATAGCATTGACTTTGTTACAACTCTAAAACCATAATACTGTCAGCTGGAGGCTTAAGCCCAGTCTAAGAAAAATGAAATGGTAGACTGACTGGAACTAGAAAAATCTCAAAACATCTATGTGGTCACTGTAACAATAAATGTGATAATTTTACCTGGTAGTGCTAATCATGGGGAGTTTAGAAGTAAAATCTATCTTAAATTATATATGTGTGTGTGTGTGAGTACATATGTAAAATTTATTTGTGACTTGAGTATACTTGCTAGTATGCTCTGACAGATAATTTTTCTGAGATAAGATAAGCTTGTTCTTTTCTTCACGTGATTTTTACACATGAATGCTGATTTTTGTTTCTGAGAATGCAGTTTCACTGATGACTTTCTTTAGAAGCTCCTATGATAAAAAAAAAAATTTCTAATTTACTGGAGTGAACTGTGACTTTTGTTCATAAATTTGTCTTCTGTGACAATTTTTCAGTAATATTTGGTGGAATAGTAGTCACCATTAAGAAGGACTCAATACTATGAGCATCCAAAAGAGAACGATTTTCACGTACTACGATATCTGCATTTTTCCTGTGCCATATGATTTTGACTACCATTTCTTTTCGCCTTAGTTTTCCTGAATATTATTCTTCAAGACATGTGAAATGCAAATCACCCAATGTGATGAAAAAAAGCATAAATCAAGTTATATGGACATTAGGCATATCTTAGTAGAACAAGACTTTTGCAATTCATCATCTGCGAGCTCCATGTGTGCCTACTGATCACTGTAGCAATACTGCCAATTTGAACCTTGGTAAATAATCCACTCCACATCCAGTCGAGCACCGGAGGGTGTTTTGCCAGTTGGTCCACATCAACGCACACATACACACACAGCTTATGATCTGTGACTCTGGTCCATTCTCATCTCAGTGAAAGCACAATTCTTTGTGCACTGATTACACTGTTTGAAGCTGCATTTCATATGAAAAAAATTCCTTCACACCTTGTGGAACTCAGTCTTTCCTTTGGCAGGAATGACTAGCATCTTGTAAACCTAACTATTAAAGCAATTAGAGTTTGTTTCTTTATGACTGTGGCCGCTCTAATATAAATAGGTGACTTGCCAGAATCCTAATATCTAGACCCTTATTCCTTGTGACTAATACTCATGTGCATGCCATAATCATAATATTATGAAGAGATGCTGAGGAGACTTTTACATTCACTTGCTGTGAAGATTGTTCTTTACTCACATGTCTAACATAAAGCCATGTCAAAACAAAATGAGAGTTGTTATTCTCTATATCGATAAATACTGCTCTTTTTTTTTTTTGGTAAGAATAGAAAATCATTATCTAGGAAAGTTTTGAAAATGTGAGTTCACAATGCTGTAATACTTTTATACACATGTACATACACTTTTTATTTTCAAACATTACTTATTTTTACAGCAAATTTTGTTTACATTGTAAATTCAATTGTTTGATTTCTTACATTGCAGATAAACACACACACACATCCTAAAAATTGCAGTGACATTTTATTTTCTGAATCTGAACCAAACATGAAGCTTCTTGCTGCCTAAAAGGGTCAATGTCACCTCATTCTAGTAGCATGTCAAATAAACCTCTAGCGAATCTCTTTGACCCTTCATCTTTATCCCTTTGACTTACATTGGGATCTCTTTCAGACATTTCTGGTAAATGGAAATGGCTTCTACTTCCCAAATTGACAGCATCTTTTGACTGCCCAGGCAGGAGAAAATTTCAAGTGTTAGGTCATTAACATCTCAAGAGACTTCTTGAACAAATCAGGCAAAGAGGATCTTTATATAAATGTTACAACTACTCCATCCTTGGTAAAATAATTATTTGACACAATCTACACAATCTCTTCAAGAATCCTTGACAAAAGTGGATGCTAATTGCTCACAGTAGTGGCCCCTTATCATTACACCTTTTACTAGTCCTTCTTCCTTCCTTCTCCTACTTCCCCACTGCCTTCAGTTGGCTGCTCAAATAAAAGTAACTTTGTAAGAAGATTATTTGACCAACTTGTTCCCACTACACCAAAATATCTTGCAGAAGACAACTTCATCATGAGAAAAAAGAATTATTTTGACTCACAGCTTTGAGTTTCATACTGCAATAGTAGATGGGCTTCATGATGATGCTGGAGGTTGACACTGACAGGGTCTGCAGACAAAGGATCATGTGATGAGCTGGAAGTAGATAGCAACTGGGCTCAACTCACATTTGTAATTTCATCCATCTCATGAGAATTGTCTTTTAAGGGCATGGCCTCTAAGACATAATGACCTCCACAAATTTGCATGTCATTCTTGCGCCGGGGCCATGCTAATCTTCTCTGTATTGTTCCAATTTTAGTATATGTGCTGCCAAAGCTATAAGCTGCTAAATATAAAAATGAAAATAGACACAAGGCAGCTGAATAGTACCCTATAACCATTTTAAAATTTGTAGCAGCCAGTTGTGTATAAACTAAAATCAAGATGTCAAGGAAGTAGTAACAGGATGTGGTTAAAAACTTGCATTTTCTAACATATTGGTCACTCAATACCACATCAATTAACTTCATGATGTTGTAAATTTCCATGTTTGTTCCTGTTGTTGAAGCTGTATAGTGGCTTTGCATTGGAGGGGATGATATTCTGCCAGCTCTATTTTCAGACCAGGAATGGTCTCCCAATAAAACTGTTGAATTTATCTGGACAATAAGATGCTGAACTCTCTGCATGGTCCATGCACCCAATGAAGGAATCAGGACTGGATATGAACTGTACCACTGCAACAAAATGGAGGAATTCAATATGGGGGGGAGGGCTTTTTGGAGAGATTGGGGGAATCCCAGAGCCTATGAAACTGTGTCATAAAATGAAAAAAATAATTTTAAAAATCTGCAAAAAAATACATAATGACCTCCAACTAAGTCCATCTACACAAGAAGCAACTTTTGATTATATTTCCTCCCGCTTATTACCATTAAGTTATAGCTTTTGGATTTAATCTTCCTCTTGAGGCAGGTGCAAAATCTTATTCAAATCACAACATTCTGGCCTCCATCAAGTCTTGTTTCCATCAATTTTAACAAATAACACATGAAAGAAAAATATCTAGCCAAATTTGAAACTAAATTTCTAAAGTTAAGCATTTACATGTCATTGCATTCACCAAGTCTAGCTCAGCAACGCTGCCTTCATTTTAATAAATTGTTTGAATGCAGACATTTGCTTACCTCTTTTTTTTCAAATTTAATCTCTTAATTTTTACTTGCCTATCAACTCTATGCAGATAATTAAAAAATTCACATATTGACGATTCCGTCATAGTTTCTCTTGATTTTCCCATTATTCGTTTCTCTATATTTTAATTTTAAAGGTGGAGAGATAAAGCAGAGCTATTCCACTTCTTAGTTCCCTATCAACTGTTTGCAAATCAGGAGTGGACCAGACTGAAACTAGCGGCCCAGGAAACAATCCAGCTCATCTGTCTGAGAGGCAGAGATTCAACTGCTTTTCCTTTTCCCTTCCTCCTACTCATCCTCCCTCCTGCTGCTGCTGTTTCTTCTTCTCCTTCCTCCTCCTCTTCTTCTTCTCCTTCTTCAAGGACTGATTAATGCATTTGAAAGAGTTTCAGATGCATAGGTACCATGCACATACTGACTAAGCCCACAGATGTTTGAAATGACCAGTGGTCAGTTAAGCCAAATTCATCAGACAGTAGCTTCATCTGGATTTCCCCCGTGAGTGGTAGGAACTTAGGTCATCTACCACTACTTTTCTCAGGCCATCAAAAGGGAACTGGATTAGATATGATGCTGTCAGAACATGCATCAGCACCCATATGGAATGCCTGTGTTGCAGGTGGCAGCTTAATTATGCCCACCCAAGGGTTAGGGTATTTTAACCACTGTAACAAATGCCCACCCTGAGTTATGTTTCTGAACATGTAAATCAAGTTTTTCTGTCAACTAGAGATCCTTCTTAACTCCCCTCCTGGTATCCTACCCTCCAATCTTAATCATCTATTTTATCTAGTTAACCTGTCTAATCAACTGTGATGATAGCTTCACAACTGGTTCATTCACTTATGCCTAGCCTCAAGTCCTTCTTATTTACCAGTACAGATTAACAGTCCTGAAACTCTGCCCACTTGATATAAAAGGATTTACAAACTTATTAACAAGGAATTTCGATTCTCCACGGACTGCATTGACTCTGCTTTTGTTCCTATTAATTTTCCATCAGAACTTGTTTTTCCAAAGATCTAGATACACTCACATCTAGTGCTTTCCATCTGTAATACTTTGTTTTTAACTTTGTGCTCTGATAATTGTATTCAAATATTAAACTTTTCTAACAAATGCTTCTAACAAATTATTTCCTAGAACTTCTTCATTTTATAGGAACAATGTATGTTACCATAATGTAGCTCCCTTCTATATATTTGAAATAATACTAAGATTTCTTACAATATCTAATACATTTTTAAAAGTTATGTTATAAAAATAATGTGCAAGTTTAATATAGATGCAATTTAAAAGATTGCTTCTCCAAGATTGCTTGAATCCATGCATGAGTAGGTCACACATAATGCAAGTCAACTATACATAGCTAGGTATAGTTTAATGAAATATCAATTTTCTATTTTTTAATTGAGGTAAGTGGGGCAGTACCATGGTGTAGTAAGCTAATCCTTCATGTGTGGTGCTGGCATTTGTTATGGACAGTGGTTCAAGTCCTGGATGCTCTACTCACAACCAAGATCCCTAGTAATGGCTTTTGAAACCAGTGGAAGAAGACTCAACTTCCTGGGCCCCTGCAACCATGTAGAAAATCCAGAGGAAGGTCCTGGTTCACAGCTTTGGGCCAACCTAGCTCTGGCTGTTGCAACCATTTGGGAAGTGAACCAACAGATGGAACAACTCTCTTTTCTTTCTCTCTCTCTCTCTCTCTCTCTCTCTCTCCCTCTCTTTGTCACTTGGTATCCCCTACTTCTAATAAAATTTTAAAAATCTTTAAAAAAAACTGAGATAGGTGCTTGATGTGGTCGTTCAGATGCCACGTAGGATGCCTGTATTCCATGCGGAGTGCCTGATCTCAGTCACAGCTCTGTTTCTGATTCCAGCATCTTGCTGCTGTACATTCGGTGGAGGATAAGGTGTTGGCTGAAGTAGCTTCATCCCTGCTAAATGTAAGAGATACCCAAATGTTTCCTTGAGTCCTGGCTTCTTCCTTGCCCAGTCTAATATGCTATAAGCATTTGGGGAATGGGCCAACATGCAAAAAAGTGTCAGTTTCTCTTTCTCTCTCTCTCTCTCAGATAATTTTTTTAATTATTAAAAAGTAAAGCAGTTGCCACTCATATTCTCCTTTTTTCGGTATAAAACTACTGACATCCTGCAGCAGATCTAACACCACGCTTTATCTTGTTGGTAGCAGACATCTAAGATCCTAATTCTGAATGGTAATAAAGGTAAAATTCATTGAGCATCTACTATATTACACTCAGGGAAATTATGTACCTTGATAAGGTCACATGGACAGATACTGGAAGAGCAGATATTGGAAGTTTGGAGGCCAGATGAAGGAATCCATACTTCTAACACTTCTCTATGCAGTTCCTACAGTACATTTCAGGGCATTAACATCAGTATTGGGGAACCAGAGAATGCTACTTAGTGGATATAATGCGTAAGACCTATTGCACGGATAGAAGAGCTAAGATGCTGAGAAATCCGCTTTGGTTTGTGTAAAGCCATCTGAAGTGTGAGCGTACCAAAGCAGAGTATAGCTAACCATGTAAATCCCATATACTTGTTATCTAGGATTTGCCTTAAGCAAAGGGACAAGAGGCAAACTATTTGGAACATGCAGCTTTGCATTCTGTTTCTGACAATGCTACAGAATGACATAAGTTCTCCCCTTCCCTGGACTTGAGAGCTCTGAAATATTTGTACTCTTAAAATCTATAGTGGGATTTTAAGAAATGTTATTATCCAAGAACCGTCTCTCATAGATGCTGATTCAATTTGTGCTGAAGTTAAGCACAGTTTTTTTAAATAAACTTTCCCCAAAGGATTCTACTCTTAAGAAATGCAGCACACTGATCTATCATATCAATCTCAAAAAAAGAAGGATGTGCATATTTAGTACCACTAAAGAATGCATATATTTGCATTCTTTACATCAACAATAATTTATATTGATCTCAAGGTTAGGAAAAAATGAGAATTATGAAGCTTCTATGACTTTCATTGACAATAACCAGGAAGCTATTTGAAACTTTCTGTAACAACCACAACCAAAACAAACCTCAAAGTTAATCAATTATGATACTCAGTACAATCACAACTTTTCTTTGATTATGAAATGCAGAGGTCCTAGCAGCATCTAGAGAAGCTTATTCTAATTATTGAAAGTTATGTCTAATAAATCCTAATGAACTTGAATGGAGTTCATTGTCTTTGGTTCGAATTCATCTAGCAGTTCTCATATAATTGACACTATTTCTAAAGAGAAATATTTCTTTGGATTTTTGTAGCATTTCCTTTGATATATTCAATTTGAGGAAATGATTGAGTCTTGTACTACTATAATCTGCATAGAGCAGTTGTTAAGAAATTATATGTTTACAGGTAATTATTTACCTTCAAAAGCTATGGCAGCAATAGAGAATATTGGCAGATAATGCTTCTATGGGGTTAGGAGAAATATTTTTATGTACGATAGTTTATATTAAAATATTTCATGTATTGCAAAAAAATTTCTTTACATATTCTATCTCAATAGGCTTTTATTTCCTAAATATTCCAATGACTAGGTATCTATGTGTATTTTCACTTTTTTTAGAGAGGGATCACTCAGTATAATAAACTTGTTTGTCATTCCATTAAAATTACGATAGTACATATATAATCAGTTTGAATGTTGCATTTACATACTGATTGAAAGGAACCTTACTGCCCATAGTTGATGAAAGACTACTGTTAACATTTTGGGGATGCAGCTAATGTTCATATAAATATCAACACATTTAATATCACGAACACAGATTTTTGGAAACTATAGTGAAGGAACTCCATCCAGAATGAAGTAAGACTTATCCTACAAAACACTTCTAGTACCTTCCATCTTTCACTGTTTCTGTATGCTGAAATGTTTTAGAGTACATAGGCAATTGGTGTGATTATTTTTTCACACTATTAAGCCTACTCACCTGCACATTAAGATTAAATGCATGGGGAACCAGGAGAAGCAGCTAAGTTTGTAATAGCATGATTGTTTAAGATTTCATGGGTACCTGGCTTATATATTTGGGACAATCTAAACTAAAATCTTTGAAAAACAACAAAATTAAATATGAACACTAGCTATCCAGACATGTT